CACACACACACACACACACACACACACACACACACGTGTTATTAAACGCCCTCACCAGAGCTCTGTATCTTTGTTCCACAAAGCAATGTCTTAAGTTGACTTGAAGCCAAAGGGCCCTCCCTGACCCGCTGTTTTTTGTCTCTTCCCACCCCCTCATCGATGGGTTCCAGTGAGATGAGTCAGAAAATGGCCAAGGAGGGCCCCAGGCTCTCCAAGAACCAGAAGTTCTCGGAACACTTCAGCATCCACTGTTGCCCACCCTTCACCTTCCTCAACTCCAAGCGTGAGATCGTGGACCGCAAGTACAGCATCTGCAAGAGCGGCTGCTTCTACCAGAAGAAGGAGGAGGATTGGATCTGCTGCGCCTGCCAGAAGACCAGGTGAGCGCGGGCTCCGGGCCAGGTCTGCGCCACGTTCCCCTGTGACTGTCAGCTCTCGGTTAGGAAGGCAGGAGGGCGAGCAGAGGGCGGGCGGGCGGGGCTTTCCTGCTGTCTCCAGCTCCTGCCAGCATCCCTTAAGCAACCGCGCAGAGCCCGGGCTGCAGCCTCCAGCTTCTTTTGGCCCTCTCTGCACCAGCCGCCGTGCCACGTCCCCTCAGAGGCCCAAGCACCAGCCAGCTGCGTCCCCCGTGGTGGTCAGAGCGCCGCCAGCCAAGCCAAAGTCCCCTCCGAGGCCAGCCAAGCCAAGGTCCCCTTCGAGGACTGAGCGCCAGCCGCGTCCCCGCCCAGAGGTCCGACCACCACCAGCCAAGCAGAAGCCCCCTCAGAAGTCCAAGCAACCAGCACGCAGCAGCCCCCTCAGAGGGCCAGGCGCCAGCCGCGGGGGGTCTCCCACCAGAGCTCCTAGGTTCTGGTAACACCATCTCTTGCCTCTTGTCCCCCCTAGCCTAAGGTCAGTAGCGGCTCTTTGCAAGTACTAACATGGGGGATCTCTCCACAGTACCAAGCCTGTGTAATCCACTCCCTTCATTAAAACCCCTCTGTTGGAAACACCTGGCGTGGCTTCTGTTTTCCTCCCAGATGTTAGTGTCCACACTTCAGAAGGCTGCGTCTGTGCCATCCCACAGGACTGCAGGCCACTCACTCACCGGCTCCTTCTGTTGACCACAGTGGCAGGCTGACATATGAGCCTGCCCTTCTCCTTACTGTGCCTCAGAGAGGAGGAGAGGTGATGCCCAGGAGCCACATCTGTGCATGTGTGAAAGGAGAGGTCCCTCTCACCTCCTGACACGTCCCGTCATATATTAGCCTTGGTGGCAGTGCCATCCATTTGTTCACTCGGCCAGTCACTCAGCAAACTGTACTGCCTGTCTGTAAGGTTTTATATGCTGTACCGGGGAGAGGAATGTAATTTGTGACTTCTGAGTACCCTCAATTTTGCTGTAGACCTAAAACTGTACCAAAAAATAAAGTCTGGAGAGAAGAAGAGAGAAGGAGGAGGAAGAGGGTTGTGACAGCCAGGCATGGCAGCCAACCTATAATCCAACCACATGGGGCTCTAAAGCAGGATCTTAGTGGGTTTACAGAGTAAGTGCTGGGCTAGCCAGGTGTGAGACCCTGTCTCAAAAAGAAGACAAAAAGCTGGTCCACCTGAGGCAGAGCAGATGGACAGATGCCTCTGGACATCCTCCAGTTTGCCCACTCACAAGTTTCTGTTAAGCCTCAGACTCCCATGACCAGCTGGGACATCTCTGTTTGAGATGAGCCATGTACATCCTGAGTATGGCAGTATTGGAGTGTTTACGCTGTACACCATGACCAGCTAGTCTCTCCAGAGCCCAGCTCAGGGTTTGGCTGATGTTAGTGACTGAGACCAAATGATGTACCTCACAGTCTGACACAGCTCAAGGTGAAGGACTTCAGCATCAGGTTTGAGTCCACGTTTTTAGACAAACTTGCGACCAGTGCTTGTCTGGGGCCACATACTTGTAATCAATTTATTAAATGTTGCTTATCTTTTTGAATGTGGTTCATTCCTATCAAAGTAGGGACGTGTCAACCTGGTCAGAATTTTACAACAGAGTTCATATACTCTACACATATGTGCACACATTTACATTTAAGTCCGTGGTATCAGTTACTGTTTTCATTGCTGTGATAACTGGGGAAGCGACGTTAAGAAGGTTCATTTTGAGTCACAGTTTGAAGGGACACAGTCCATTGTGTGTCAAGGTATGGTGTCAAGAGCCTGAGGTGGCCGGTCACATTACATCATCAGCCAGGAAGCAGAGAGAGATGAATGCTGGTACTCAGCTTAATTTCCCCTTCATATTCAGTCCCAGGGCCCCAGCCCATGAGCTGGTGCCCCCCACAATCAGGCTGAGCCTTCTCATTTAAACCTCTGTGGGAACGCCTCCCTAGACGCAGAGGGGCATTTCCTCGGCTACTCTTGAATCCAGGCAAGTTGACAGCGAAGCTCAGCCATCACAAGTTGTAAATGTTTTTGTTTCTGGTCCAGGAGTGGAACATACTGTCACTGCTATTGTGTTGCAAAATGCTTACAACGAGTGGCCAGAAAACCAAAAATTATTATGCCTAGAAACAGGAGGACTTAAAAAAATATATCTTTCCTAGGCTCAATCCAGAAAAAATATTGTGTCCATTTTGACCAGAGACTACAAGGTTTGAGAAACCAGAGAGAGGGCTTCTAAAGCTGCATTTCTGAGGAGAAAAATAAAGTCACAAGTTTTCACTCAGGGCTCAGGGGTTAAATGCCTGTCTTGCTCTTGAAGGACCTGAGTTCAGTTCCCCACATCCCACATGGGGGCTCAAAACTGTAACTTCAGTTCCACTGCCCTCTGCTGGCATCTGTGGGAACTGCATGAATGTGGTACACACACACACACACACACACACACACACACACACACACACACACACACCAAATTAAAATAAATACATCCTTTAGAAAGGTCCATGAAGTCACAGTTGTATTAAAGACTGTATAGGAAGTACACACCACTTACCAGTTTGTGAAACTTTCTTTTTCTCTTTGTAAATCAGATTGAAAAGGAGGAGCAGGTCAACCCCAAGAAAAAAGTGACAAGGAAGGGATTTCCTGTGAATGGACAGCCTCCGCCTGTGGACGTACCACTTCACAACCCATCCGCCCTCAGACAAGTTACCTGGCCTCAAGTATGATGCAGGATCAGACACCTGCTGATGTGACAGCTACAGATGCCCTCAGTCCTCACGGTGTGGGAGCCTCAGGGCAGCCTGCCTGGAGGTGAGGAGGGGCCTCTTTGTACCACACTCCAGTCACTGAGTCCTGAAAGGACCCCTTGGGCTCCAGAGCTCAGGAAAGGGGTCTTTTGGTTTCATCTGCAATCCTTTTCTCTCTGGCAGTGCACGGGCCTCCAGGGACTTTGGCAAAGGTCTGCAGAGCGAATCCACACATATTCCCCCTCCTTCTTTCTGTCTCCTCTAACCCTGCATCTGGTGGCTGAACCTGGCTCTTGATCCTTAAACCTTTCTCTTCCTAATTCTCTGCCTGGGCTCCTCTTCTTCCCATGCCATTTGCTCTCTGTTTAGAGATCCTCCTTTCTCAGTAGCTAGAGCCAGAGTGGACACTGGTGAAGGTCTGTGTGAGGTTCAGAGTAAGATACTAATTGTTGTATGATCCTTAAGTGCTGAGATGTTCCGAGACAAAAGGAGCTGTGTTTAATTCCCATGTCAGATGTAGCTAACTTGTACAAGAAACAGAACAGATTAGGAGCAGCAGCCTCTGTCCCCTCTGCAGGCCCGTCTCCAGCCTCACACAGGGCTTTGTGAGCACCAACTCCTTTCCCTGTGTGGGTGAGAAGAACCCTTTAAAGCACTGCTTTTGAAATCTCGCCACCTGCACAGTTAGCGCTCACCTGCATAGTTCTGTGTCTTCTACATGGCTCTGTCACCTGTACAGTTAGCGCTCACCTGGATAGTTCTGTGTCTTCTACATGGCTCTGTCACCTGTACAGATCCACCAGCACAGCTCCAACTGCTTTCAAATCTTAAAACTTGGAAAGGTCATATGGCTTCAGCCCTGTTGTCTCATCCCCCTCCCTCCTGTGAGGGATTCTGGACCTGGTTAGATGTCCCTAGGCACTTGTGTAGGTCTAGAAAGAGAGCTGGGAAAGTTTCTGTTTCCCAATCAAAATTCTCCCAACTCCCGGGGAGAGAGGAGGCCTGATGCCCTAGGGCTTTCCCTGGCTGGCCCTCCATATCAATGTCTGTGGTAAAGAGAGGTCAAGAGAATGGGAAAGGAACTTGACCTTCTGGAAAGGAGAGTAAAGTACATGTGTGCTGGGGAGTAGAGAGCTAGAAATCCAAGACTTCTTCCGGAGTACGAGGCCATTCCTGGATGAGGCCATTCCTGGATGAGGCCATTCCTGGATGAGGCCATTCCTGGATGAGGGCCTCTGATGAGGGCCTCTGGCAGTTAACTTTCCATCTCTTTGCTCTGGTTTGTCCCCAAGTCTGTAGCCTCAGACTTTGGGGAAGGAATGATCCTGAGTGTGGGTTCTTGTTCTGGATCTTTAACCCCATTCCGCTTGCTTGGACCTCATGTCTGCACTTGCTGTGAGGACAGAGACTGGGGCAGGTGGAAGAGCCTCAGATTGCCTTGGACTCTTGTGGACAGGTGCGTGCGTGCGTGCGTGCGTGCGTGCGTGCGTGCGTGCGTGCGTGCATGCGTGTGTGTGTGTGTGTGTGTGTGTGTGTGTGTGTGTGTGTTGGGATTAGCTTGGGGATAACATTTCCCAGCTCTCCTTTTCTTGCCCAAGTGTAAATACTAGAGGACCCCTCCTAGTCCCAAGTTAGTTCTTGTCTCCCTGAAGACCTCAGCCACAGAAGCTCATCATGGAAGGTCCACACTGGTACACACACCGCTTCAGAGCCCCAGCCTAAACTCAGGGTTCTATTACGTTCCCATCACAGGCCATGTAGGCGCTCCAATTGGGCCACTTTCCCTACTCAGCCCAGATTGGTGGGGGTGGAAGGAGAGGAACTGGAGATCCATCTCTATCCAGGCTCCATCTGGGTCTGCCCCAGAAACAATTTCAGTGTTCTAAGCCCAAACTTAGGTAAGTTATAGACTCTAAACGCTAGAACCAGAGAGAGAGAGACAGCTGCAGGCAGTAGATGCTCACCCTTGTTACTCCTTGGCCCCCAACACTTTCCCACTCAGGAGAAAGGAGGCCATGTCTCTACCATAAGGAAGCCAGGCTCAGGGCTTGGCGGATGACTCAGGGTTAGAAATGCTTGCCCTGCAAACATGAGTACTGGAGTTTAGATCCCATGACCCACATCAATGCTGGGGGGCCTGGCAACCCTACCCCTAAATCCAGCCTCAGGAGGCGGACACAGGAGATCCCCAGGGCAACTACCTAGCAAGACTAGCCATATCAGTGAGCTCTGGGACTGACTGAGAAACCCTGCCTCAGTGAATATGGTAGAAGATAGAGGGGTGACTCCCAACATCAGCCTCAGGGACTCGAGGCATGCGCACCTCTGTGCATGCGTGCCCATAAACAAAAAACAAAAACAATAACAACAACAAAAAACACAAGCACATGCACATCACACATACACATGAAAATGGAAAAAGAAAATGAAAGAGAACCAGACTCATGGTCCTTCCAGGATGGACCAATCCTGCCCATGATTCAGAAGCCCATTCCCTACCCGGCAAGACCACATGGTTCTTCTTTCTGTCTCTCCTGTGTACATGTGAACACATGCGGCATCTGTCCTGGGTGCTTGTGCTCATTGTGGGGCCGTGTGCTTGCTACCCAGAGCCTGTCATGCTCTGGCCCACGGTTCCTGAGCACATGCCCTCATCTCAAATATCATCTCAGAGATTCTTCCACGGCACCTGACTCTGCAACGCTAATTTTGGTTGTAGTCTTCTGGAATCATCCTGCTCACTTATTTATTGTTTCATCCTTGTGCAATGCCTTGGCTAATGCAAATCCCATGATTGCCAGGACTGATTTATGCTGTCTTCAGTTATCTGGCACTAATAAGAATTCAATAAATACTTGTTGACTGGAAGAATGTTTATTTGTTTTTAAAAAACAGTTTTAAAAATAATTTCCAAAAGTATGAATCCTTTTGAGGAATCTGAGACATCTATTGTAACTCACAAGGGATTACTGGTGACCTTTGCATGGCCCCTCTGTGTAGAGAAAATGGGAAATGAAGAGCAGGAATTCATGAATGTAAACACAGCCCTCAGCTGGGCCTTGAAGGAAGCCGAGGACTAGCAGGGTTTGGGTTGTTAACTCAGGAGCTGTCTGAGTATATTGAAATGCTTTTGGGGGCAGTGGGGGCGCACACCTTTAATCCCAGCACTCAGGAGGCAGAGGTAGGCGGATCTCTGAGTTCGAGGCCAGCCTGGTCTACAGAGTGAGTTCCAGGACAGCCAGGGCTACACAGAGAAACCCTGAACCCCCGCCCCCCCCCAAAAAAACCAAAAAAACAAAAAAGAAATGCTCTTGGGTAAGAGTTGGCAGAGTGTGTGACAAAGAGGCATGGAACAATTAGCTGATGGAGCTAAGAACCTAGGAGGTGGGAAAGGAGTTTTGGGACACCAGTGAGGGGGACGTCCATGAATAAAGGGGCTTTTACCTGGAAAGGGGAAAGAGGAAAGGAGAACTGTAGATCACAATGAGTTCTTGAGTTCAGTGGCGGGGTGTGGGGTGGCCCTGCCTGAAGTGTTGCTTTCCTGTGTACCTTATGTAGGACACGAGGCAGCTAGTTCACACGGGGTGGTGGTGGTGATGATGTGGTGGTGATGGTGGTGGTGGTGGTGGTGGTGGTGGTG